TTGGAATTAAAACTCTTGACTAGATCAAAATGTTGCCTTAACCAGCTGCAGTGTAGTAAGTACGTGTAAGGGGTTAAAGAGAATCTCACAACTTGCATATCAAATGAACGTTCTCTTCTTAGTCAAATCAGGAATTTATATGCTTTAATACCTATAATCAGAAGCAATGGTTCCCAAATTTAGCTGAACAAAAGAATCACCTCAGACCTACTAAGTCAAAACCTACAAGAGGCATTAGTTTTGTTTTAAAGCTTCCCTAGAAAATCCTGGTGTGCAGTTAGGTTTAAAAACCCCAGTGCACTTGATGTTCCGCTTTTGGAACAGTTTTTCAAAATTCTGTAGTACGCTTGTATAACCTTAATGCTACAACCCTTCGTTTCTTCGAGAATGGATTGTATTATTTTTTAATTAGCTCAAGTCAGTTCAGTGAATATGGATGCCTTGTTACAAATTTGGATAATACCAATTTTGGTTAAAAAAATCGTTAAGAATACTTAGGAGTATTGCAAACTGGGTTTGCAGGTGAACATTACAGAACGTGATGAACGTAGCGTGCATAGGTTTTCATAACCTTGGAAGCCACTCCCCTCCCTGTTCCTTCTTCATTTAGATGTGTTAGTTACAATAGGTTTTCGACAGACTATTTTATAGTTACATACACTGGTTGCCTATTGCTTTAGCTACACTGGAACAAAATGCAGATTCTGTCCTTTCCCCCACTGGATTCCAAGCCCTTCGGGTAAGTTTTCTGTCTCTTTTGGCCTACAAACCCATTCCATTTAAAAAGTGGTCTAGTGGTTATTTTTTAATACAGAGGACAGCATCAGTATAGGAAATAAAAGTTAGGATTAATTCTACAGATTAATTCTACAGATATTGATATCGGACATCAGTTATATAAAGTTATATAAACTTATTGTAAACACAATAATTTGAATATACTATATATACCAATACACACAGCTAGTATTAAATTTTCTCTTGTGCACAATCTGTAAGTTTCACGATATCAAATTCTCCAAGGAATACTAATAAATCAACACAAACTTCCATCAAAATACACACACACACAAATCTACTTTCAGATTCAAATTCAATTTATAAAATTCTATCCAGAGTTTACCAAATCAATCAGTTACTAGAGACACATTAACACTCATTAAAAGCATAGGTTTTGGAATCAGACAGATTTGGGCCCAAATCCCCACACCCTATTAACTATTCGTGGGCTCTTGAATGAGTTTTTATATCATTAAGTCTGAGTTTTTTCATAGGCTGTTGTGAAAGTCATGAGGGCTTTAAAATCAGCATTAAATATCATCTGAACAACTGGGTGGTTGGTCTACATTTTCCACTTTTTACCTAGTTGAAAACCAAAGACCAAATCATTTCCATTTATGAAAGTAAAAAACATAATGCTTTTACCATATTGTCATACCTCCAATAATGCAGTACACTTTAATTTCTGAAGTCGAATTCCTTTAAAACTTTCTGCTAAGACACTTGGTGATCAAGAAGTGCATTCATCTGAGACTTCCAGAGTGCTTACACCCACCACATGCCAGACATTGTGCTGAGGCATTGAAGAAGCACAACTGCAGAAAAAATTTTGAGACTTCGAACTTTAATTTTCCCACACTGCAAGAATTCTTAATAGTTTTATGTATTTGAACAGTACTTTGTTATCCAACTATTCAGATTTGACAATTTGTTACTAAAAAATATGCAAGATTATTTTGAGCTCCTCCCATAGAATTACAAGGCCACGTTTGCATGATTCATTGGAGGTTCAATTTAGGCCCTAATACGAGGGTCAAACACTTAAAAGTGACACAATTGCAAATTTGCTATTTCTAAAATTCGTCAAGGACTTTTCAAGACTTCCTAGCTGTTCACGTTCTCCTGAGAGCTAGCTTCGTGATCCATCTCTGCATTGTCCCATTAAGTTCACTGTCACTCTTCCGTCTCCTCTCACTTCTGGCTAGATAACGGATTTGGTACAAGGAAGGCACGCGATGGAGAAAACGTCTTTTAGAATTTAAGATCTGAATTTAAGTTCAATTTAAGCATCTATCCATGCAACCCATTAAAGTATGTAAAACTTTCACTAAGATTCCAGAAGAGCAGGCATTACCTCCCGTTTCCCTTCCTACCCAAAACTGATGATCAGTTAAGATGAAATATCTCAAGTTCCATACTGAAATGCCTTATTATCTTTTAGTTTGTAAGAGTAATTCTGCTAGGGGCGCCTGGGTGGCTCAGTTGGTTAAGCCACTGCCTTCGGCTCAGGTCATGATCCTGGAGTCCCTGGATCGAGTCCCACATCAGGCTCCCTGCTTGGCAGGAGTCTGCTTCTCACTGACCCTCCCCCCTCTCATGTGTTCTCATTCTCTCTCAAATAAATAAAATCTTAAAAAAAAAATAATTCTAAAAAAAAAAAAATTCTGCTATGTCCTCTCTCCTTCCTGTGAATGAGGTATGGAGTAAAATAATGAATTTGTAAACAGAAAGTCATGTCAAGCGACACTGTGGAACATAGGCTCAGGAGTCAAGATTATCAAACCTAGGTCCAACTTGTCCGCTCTGCCATTTTCTAGCAATACCCTTAGGCAACACCGACATAAGGATTCCCATCTTACAGAGCTCATGTTGACGACTAAGTTAAATAATGCACACGACACACTCAGAACAGTGTCTGGCATGTGGTAGTAAGGACTTAAATGTTATTAACTGTTTAACACTTCTAATTATTCCTGCTTTGGGGAATAGAAATAATTCATAATAATTCTAACCTGAAATGTTTTAACATTCATATCCATAGAGTACAAAATACCTACTGACTACAATGCACCATATAGCAAAATATATGATCTTCAATTTTCATATAAGTTTTCCTTCCCAAATGGAGACAATCTAACAGTAAATATCAGATAGCTTATATAAAATTAGGCTATAAAACGAGACAAGTTACAGTAGATCGGCAAAAGTAAAACCCTGAATTTACTCAGTTATTCAAAATAAGTATCTAAAACTGTTAACAAAAATAGCATCATCTGGATTTAACATTTTGAAATTATTTTCCAAATTGAGGAACTAAATAGTATTTAGAAGCCCGAGATGATGCCAATGTACTAGTTTTCTGGGGATGTAGGCATAATCTTAAGATCACTTACTGGCTGTCTCCTTCTAAAGCCCTTCTTGATACCTTACATACACACTGGGGGAATGGAACAACGATGCTTTACTAGAACAAGGATTCTTACCGAGAAGGTCTATCAGCATCCTGGGGTTTTGGGAGTGGTACATGTCTAGGTATACAATGCTACACAAGTGATTCTAATACAGCCTTTAGAGAGACATGCAACCCTTCCCCATCCCCTTTTAAAATTCACTGACATAAAGAATCCTTGTATTCACAACCACATTTTATTTTGTGAGGCTGTGTTCCCTAATTGCAATGAATTTTCAATCTTTAAATAATATAACTATATAACAATTCAAAATAAAACACTGTCCTGGATTTGAAAATGATAGCAGAGAATTACAACTTAACAAGTGAACAAAGATTACATCATGTTTGCAGTTAGAAAACTATGTGTCCACCCTCAAAATTCTTCAAGTAAGTCATCAAAATTTATTCACATCAACAGGATTAAATGATTAGGATGTATTATTCTTTGAAATTAAGACATTAAAAAACTGAGATAAACAGCACGAATGACCTCTTGCTGAAAAGAAAGCGATGTCAACATGTACCATTATGAGCTTTGTGAGCTACAATAATACTTAAAAAGAGCTAAAACATATAACTGTGTTAGGTGACCCAGTTTTGTTTTTCAATGCAGTATCATTCTCTGGCCATTCAACTCAACTGCAGTTCAGAAATGTGTTTCAATATATGTATAAGCACTTGGAAGCATAAGTATGAAACCTGTGCCTCCAAACTAAGAAGCGTCTCCAAGCTCTGGATCTAGATTTGATTTGTACAACCACACTTGAGACAAAACATAAATTTAACTTTACTTTTAGTGGTTTAAAGTAGCACTTAAATTTGCGTTTACTGAGATTTCATGAAATTTTTACACCTTTCATGTTTATTAACTCGACAATCTGAGTTGTTCTATTTCCCAAGGTGTCATAATTATTTAATTGGGGATTGAGAGCAACACAACTGTGCCACCTAAAGTACCAGTATCTTCCCGTAGACAAACACCCTCCCATTACAGAAATCCCAATTATGTAAAAATCAGAGAGTGGAACCCTTCGGCTTTCTATTCTACACCTGCCCTACTAGCGCTCAAGTATGGTAAGAGTATCCTGAGAGTAATGTTCATGATAGTTTTCACCTGCATCTTAAATTGCATCACGTCAAAGTGGAAAATGTGGAGATTAAGAGCGTAAGGCTTATAATTCTACAGTAGAAATGGAGACAAAATTAAATGCAGTAGGAGCCTATCTGCCAAGTCTAAGAGGAAAATTATAACCCAAGAGACGCACGGGGGGAAATATTGATGTGGTTTTTAATCCATATTAGAATTCAGTTGTAACTTGACCATAAATTTAAACAGAAACCATCTTCTGAGACATACATTCTAATATATGTATCAACAGGACTGATAATCAACCAAGAGTTGGTTATTCCAACTCATTAGTAACACTTCACTTTTCTATCCAACATAAACCTATAGTGGTTTGCCCCAATTACATGGCTGAAACACTGTCTTATGAAACAAAATTAAATAAAATTGAAGATAAAAATACCCTGAAGTTAAAGCAAACTATAATCCTTGGTGGATCAATCATGTAAAACACATTGGTGAAAGTTGGAAGCACAGGATAACTGACATGAATCTTCAGCACAAAGTACTTCTTTGAACACATGAAACGGTGAGTCTTTGGAGGACAACAGCTAAATACCCAAGAATCATCAGGTTTGAAAAATATTGCTTAATCACTTCCCAAAACACAGCTGCAAGAACTGAAGATCTCGTTAAAAAATATCAAGGTAATCATATTTATTGCATCTTTAGAATGCATTTCAAACAGAAAATTAACAGTGCACCCCAGCTTCACCAAAATATATATTTAAGAGAGGGGCAACCTAAGATATTTATAAACAAAGTATCAGCTGTATGTGCTTTTCAAAGGGTCTGAATTAAATACAACCAGCTGCCAACTTTGTGCTCTGACATACTTGAATTAGTGGGTGTGTGTATACTAAATCATTTATTTTTGTCTACAATAAATGAAATAAAAACACTGCCCTATACAATCCACTATTAGCAGTGAGTACAACAGCAAAAAATTATTGTACAATTTATACATACTAAAATATTTTCTCTCTCTAGAGATAACGTAGAACAAAACCTAATCATTAGGACTTAATTTGGGAAATCTCGAAATACAATAGGGGAAAACCAAATCAGGGAGTGTATAGAGCCCAAAATAAAGGTTCCTGGTCATAAGGCTAGAAGATTAGTAAGTGCAAGTGGTAGAATAAAGCATGCTCAAATGTATGCTTGGGTCTTTGTATATTTATCAAACCTTTAAATTAAACAAGACTAGCTAAAGAAGTGTCTTAAGCAGAGCAAGATAACTGGGAACTGTCATTTCTTTTACCATTTTTGTTACCCAACTTATACAATGCGCAAAGTGCTAAGCAACACTACAAAAACACATTTACATCAACACTGAAGACCTGGGGAAATGAAATCCAACAATTTTATTTTAATGAGCTGTATTTTCTAAATTTTTGTTTTATTTTTTCCTGTTTTCATACAGTATTGAAAACAAAACGCGGCACATTCACATTTTCCCGAGGAACTGTAAAGATGATCTCTACAGGGATAAACGTTGTAAAGCCTGAAGCTCAATCAATTGATGTTGAAAACTCTCAAAGGGAGTAAAGGCTTGATCTGAATGGCCTAGAACATGTATTGTAATTTAATAGAAGAGATGGTCGTCTTAATATTTAATGATTTAAAAGAACTTCTCAGTCCATGCGGAAGAGTACAGTCCAAGAATAAATCAAATTTCTGAACGCATTTTATGCTACATATGTGTATACTTTGCGATCCTCAGGTGTTCGTGCCAAATATTCTCTCTCAATAAGTCCTTCAATACGTTTCTTAATAACAACTGGACTTGGTAAGAATCGAGCCTTCAACTGCTGAGTTACCTAAAAGAGAAAGTAAAAAAACTAATTCCTACCAGAAAATTTTTTAAATGTGTAACATTTCCATATAAACACACAAAAATTCTTATCTTTGAAAAGAACTGACGTGTCATTTTAAGATTGAGCTCAAACTCTAGTCATCTGATTACCAAACTAATTAACTTTAAAATTAAAAAAGGTTTTATTTGAAAATGTAATATACATTTTCTACATGGGTTAGAACATGCCTCCTTCACATGAGAATATGGGTGCTGAATTGGGTTAGTAGTTGAATTAATTGGAATATATTAGCATGAATATTCATTCATGCAAATTATGGTTTAACCATTTTGATGGTCTAAATCTACTAACTTCTGGGTTACTCTCCCAATTCATAGAATTTAGGAAGCATAATGTATTTAAAAGCACAGACTCTTGGGGCGCCTGGGTGACTCAGTCGGTTGAGAGACTGCCTGCAGCTCAGGTCAGGATCCTGGAGTTCCAAGATCAGGTCCCAAATCAGTCTCCCTGCTCAGCGGAGAGTCTGCTTCTCCCTCTGACCCTCCTCCCTCTCATGTGCTCTCTCTCAAATAAATAAATAAAATCTTAAAATAAAAAGAGCACAGACTCCGGACCCCAGAGTACCTAGACTCAAATCCCAGCTCTCCCATTTACAAGTACTGGGCCCCTGGGAAAGTAAATGAATGTCATCAAGTCACTGCATATGCTAAATGAATTAATGATGCTGCCTGGTCCTGGTAAAAGTGCCACTGCTGTCATTCTTTCCTCCAGCTGCTGTCAGGATGCTAGGTACTGTGATATTGGTAAAAATAAAATGTAACTACAGCGGCAGCAAAGTCTGACTGTGCTCTGTGTATCAGTCCCTCTGTATATATTAATTTATTTATGTTCTTAATCCTGCGAAATAGGTTGTTTCCTTTTACAAATGAGGAAAATAGCCAGACAGGAAGACTGATGTGCACTAAAAGTAAACACAGCCAGCAGTCAGAGATGAGAATCTAAACCTTTCTGCCCCCAAAGTTCATGCTCTCCCCACTGATCCGCCCTTGCCTCTCTTGCAGAACACCCGTCCATCCACAAGCCAGTTTTCCTTTTACTCCTGTTGGAGTTCACTTCCCAAGGCCACAATGGATTGACAATTCTTTGAAATCTGAACTTCAGTACTTCTGCCTCCAGCTACAATCTATCTCCCTTCTAGTATTATCGCTCCAGTATCAACAAACTTGTTCTCAACCCAGGTGAGATCTCTCATCCTCTGACCCTTCTTCTAAGCTACTAACAACTTCTTTTGACCTTACGTCCTTGGTGGGGTCCAGACTGCATGCAAGATCACTTTTAGCTACACTCTCAACAGTACCCTCAACTCCCAGATTCCTTTGGTTCTCTTCAACGAACATCTGGCTCCACATTTACTACATCATTCAAAATCTACTACACAGTTCCTTGCTGAGTAAAGTTGTCGTTTTTACACCTTTGGGGCAGACGAGGAGACCCCACAGGCCAAACACAGCCCCGCAGCCTATTCTGTAAATCCTTAACTGGAACACAGCCACACTCCTTTGTTATCGGTGGCTGCTTTCACACTGCAACTGGCCATTAAAAAAAAGTCTGCCAATCTCTGGCATACACTGATAACACAAATTTAATGTGTTCGAGTTCAGCAAGTTCCTGAGCACCACCACCTCACATCCTGTTTCGGTCTGCAATTCCTCACACTCCCATCACCTTGCACACAGACATTTATTCACACTTGTACCCACCCTTGTTTAGTGCACCCCCTGCACCCTGCCCTGGGCTCTCGAGAGAGGCACAGTCAGCACGACCTCTGTCAGCACGTCTACCACCCACCCGTGTTCCCACACAGTCCTCTCAGCTGTCGAGTCCTCTCACCCCATTTTCTTCAAGTATTCCTTCTTTATTCCTAGGATATAAACATGCTGAGTATCTTCCCATCAGAAAAACAAAATCCAGGACACCTCAACTTAACACTCAGTCCCGAAGGACAAGGCCCTCTCTTGGTGCTTTCAGCTCCACTTCCTTCTCGAGGCACTGCTGTCATTGTCACTCTACCAGAGCCATGAAAATGGCTGGGAAAAGTAATGAGTTACCTAATTGCCAACAGGTCGTGAGTTTTGCAATGACTGACCAACCCCTCACATAATTCTCTTCCTCTGCCATTTGATGTCAAGTCAGCTTGTACAGGATACCACTAATGCAGAACACAGCAGCACGCTGCCCCTCCCTCCCTCCACTCAGCCTCCAAGCCAGAAACCTACGGGTCCTTGACTCCCCTGTGTCCCATGGCCAGTCAGTAAGTCCTGCCCATTCGACTTCCCATTCGTCTTCACTTAGCTCTCTATCCTCTACCAATACTTTATTCAGCCCTCATCATTTCTTACCTATTTCAATGGCAACACTTATTTTTAGAAATAAAGGTAGCTTGTTTAACACAAAAATATTAAGTAGCAGGGAAAATTTTTGTTCTTCATGTGGCATTATTCTATTATTTTTTATTACAAATATATTAGTTCTTAAAGTGTGCACATATTTGGATGTCCTGCCGTGTTTAATTATCAAGTAAGTGCCATACTTTGAACAGTAAGTGTTACCTGACCCTGGTTTCCTGATTTTAAAATTATATCTTAAACACCTTGAATATAGTGATTTCCTAAATTTGAACTGTTAATATTATTTTGCTTTTCCTACATTAATCTAGTCTTGAAGCACTCTCACCTCTGCTACTAATACATTGTGCTGCATCTTCTTTCTGGATTTCATTATCCGCACGATAGCAGCTTCGATCTCATGTTTTCTGTCGTCATCCACTTTCTGCCTCGTTTCTTTCCTTTCTGGGTCAGATTCACCTTGTTTGGCAGCAACTAAAAGAAAAAGACACTTACCATGTAATTACCACGCAATTTATAAACAAACAATTTAGTATTATCCACATAGAAAAACCAATTTCAACCTGAGTATACACACAGATTTATTAATTCAAGTAAACATTCAAAAGGTGCCTAACTCAACATTTATTTTAACAAATATTTAAATAATTAACAATCATGGATCTAAACATCTTGCAATTCTAACTTATTCCTTTTAAATATTAGGGATTTAATTTTATAGAGATAATAAAGCCCATTTTGTTTTTATAAAATACAAGGATTCCTCTCCTGGAAGAAAAATGGTAGCTGGATATATTTAGTAGTAAAATTACCAGTAGATAATTTTCATTACAGGGCCAACTAGTATTTTACTAACATCACGCTAAGATATTTTAAGAGGAGGATAGAATTATGTGTTGCCAAGATGTAGTTAGCTCAATAAACAGAAAGTACCACCGGGATGTCAGTTAAAGGAGCAAGTAATTTATTTGTACCTGTCACAGACTACCTAAAAATTTATCATATATCTTATTATTTTCGGTCACAATCTCATCATCACTAATGCACACTCTATTCCAACCTTTTGGAGAAGAGAAGTCTTATTCTGTTGTTCCCTACCGTCTTCAAGGCAATTGCTCAGGGAATAAATATAGAAGTCCCTTTCTCTTACAACTCTGCTCTAATTGAAGTAACAAAGAAAAATGGCAACTGATTTTTCATTTATTTGGTCATCAATGAGAGACAGAGATGAAATTTCTGGAGGCAGAAACTGGAAAACTACAAAGAAGCACATTAAGACATTGCCGCTTACGCACGGACACACCCACAAGAAAGCAGACTGTACAATTTAGTAGAACATCATTCTGGTGTGCATATCCATTCAGCTGTTTCTAATTAGAACCCCTTGGTTAAGAATTCTATTTTCAGTATCTTTTCCCAAATTAAAGATAATCAAGATCTTAACAAAAAAGAGTAAAATTAGATTAAGATGACCTACTAAAGAAGAATAATGCTTTTCCTCAAAAAAGTCAATGTCATTAAAAAAAGGGGGGGGTACTGGATTAAAGTAAATAGAAACTAAAAAGACATAAAAATCAATGTAACGGGGAAACCATGATTGAATCCTGGATTTAAAAAGGTATGAAAGACTTTTTTTTTAAAGATTTATTTATCTTAAAGAGAGAGCGAGAGTGTGAGCGAGTAGGGCGGCGGGGAGGGAGAAGAGAGAATCTCAAGCAGACTCCCCACTGAGAGCAGAGCCCAACTCAGGGCCTGATCCCATGACCATGAGATCATGACTTGAGCTGAAATCAAGAGTTAGATGCTTAACCAACTGAGCCACCCAGGTGCCCCTGAAAGGCATTTCTGAGACAACTGTGGACAAATAAACATGGGTGGTACACAAATATTTATACAAATAAATGTTTGGAATTATTAATTTTCTTGGGTGTGATACAGTACTACAATTACTTTAGAAAATATCTTAGTCTAGGGGCACCTGGGTGGCTCAGTCGTTAAGCGTCTGCCTTCGGCTCAGGTCATGATCCCAGGGTCCTGGGATCTAGCCCCGCATCAGGCTCCCTGCTCAGCCGGAAGCCTGATTCTCCCTCTCACTCCCCCTGCTTGTGTTCCCTCTCTCACTCTCTGACAAGTAAATAAAATCTTAAAAAAAAAAAACAAAAAACCTTAGTCTATTTTGGGGCGGGGAGAAGTGTGATGTTTGCTGATTAATTTAAAATACTGTAGCAAATATATACATATATGGAGGGAGAGGGGGAGGGTGGGGTCAAAGGCACCCGAGCAAATGGGGCAGGAAGTTTAATGACTCAAAATACTGGTGATGGCCATATACCTTCGTCCATTACGGTATTTTTCTTTTTCTATGGATTTGAAATTTAAAATAAAAAGTTGAAGAAATAATTTTTTAAAACAATCTATTTCGTTCTGCAGGATTTGGCCACCTAAAGAGGTATTTTCCAAGATAAATGGGAAGACTGTGGTGATACACACTGAACTATGTTTTTTAAAATGTGAGGGCAGGAGCTCACTCCCAGAACCTCACACCATACCCTTCCCTTAAGAAGAAGGTAAGAGAGGCATTTGCTTGTGCAGTGGGGTACGTATGCATCTAGCTGTATCAGGGAAAAGGAAAGGGCAAGGGAAACGTGACTGGTGGTGGCGGGGAGGACTGTGAACTGTGGAAACTGCTGTGGATCACAACAAATCTCATTCTTTTCAAAGGTTGTGTTATTTGAGTAATACTTTTAACTTCTTTGTTTGAACTTCTATTACTGACTATAGTAAAGGCAGAATTAGGTAAGGACAGAGTCTCTGAATCTTTGATTATGAGCCAAAAGCCAAGGATGTATTTTGACAACTTAAGAAAACCTGTGTGGTCACAATACTTATCACCAGAGAGAAAATTTTAATGTATACAAAACATTTTTAAGAGTCATGATAATCTAAGTAATTATTTCAAAATGAAAAGGTTATTTCTTTCCAGAATTTTATAGCTGAAAAGAACTTTAAGAGATCATCTAGTTGAATTCCTTATCATATATAACTATATTCCTATTTTAATTAGATTTAAAGTACTATATATACACACACACACACTTGCCACCCCGGCACCCCAAGCATTATTTTTTTCAAACACAGAAATCCAACAGATAATAATTTCTTTAGAGGAAAAAGTATCATTTTTCTAAGAGGAAACATATAATTCCAGATACCTGTTTGAATCTTGACTCTGTGTAGTTTGGATGTGAACTGATCATTAACTGTGAATATGTGGCCGTTTTCTATTTCCTTGGACTTGGGCTCTTTTGTAAGAACCCGCTGTGTTGGTTTACCACAGGCGAGGGACTGCAGAGCTCTAACAAGTTCTCTTTCAGGGATATCCGTCTCTTGTTGAATTTCCTGAAATTCCATCAGATTGACATAATTAAGACTTTCTGAAAGATTACATATTAGTTAATTAGTAAAAACCTGACCAAGCAGGAAGGAGTTAGAGAGAGGTATTAACGAGATAATTTACAACAAAGAACTCCCTTTACAACAAAGAATTAGGACCCTTCACTAAAATCTCACTTATTGGGAGAAACTATAGAGAAAAAGGTGATTCAAATTACAAAATATTGAAAAGACATGTACTTTTGTTTCAGAAGATACAGGGCCTGGTCTAAAAATGTCATCCAGCAGAGATTATTACTGACCTGCTTTAATATTTAGGTAAAAATAAAGTGTTAACCAACATAGGACTGCTAATTTTAGAAATACTCTACAATCTTCCTCCCAAGTTGATCCACACTACTTCTGCTCAGCAACTTCCTTCATAGAAAGCAGCAAAGTGAGCCTGAGCTAAGGCCTTCTATCATACAATCAAAATTTATAATCCAAGTTGACTGTATTTACTGCCTCTTTGACCAAATGAAAAAAAAGTTAAAACCTGATAATTCTAGAAAAACATGAAAAACAGTTAAGAAATCTGTTTTGAAGTGCAGGTGATAATTTTTGCAACATATCATGGTATGAATAAAATGTAATATTGAAAGAAAAGCAGTATGGTAAAGAATGAATGTGTAATTTTTTGGTTCATTAGGTGCCTCTTAGGTCCATAGGACATTATGAGAATTGCACATGTATATGATTTAGTTCCTACATGTCTACAGGGATGTATGATGCCACAAAGTCTTCACAGTAGGATATATCACTCTGATTTACTATCCAGAGCTATTTCCTTCTCAAAAGCAGCTCAGGAAGAATGGACATGAAGATGGGGACATTGATTATGTAACTGATCTGGAGAGTCATTCTCTCTCTCTCACAAATCTGAGCAAAAGCTCAAGTTGCTCTAAAGGACTGTCAGGTAAGTAAGGATTGAGAGAAATGTGAATTTAGTGATGATGAGGCACAGTCCTTCGCCTCAAATGATCTCTGTATGTCTACCTATGTTAGCCATTTCAAATGCTATAAATGTTAATTCCAGCAAGTTAAATAGGTGCTGTTATTAGAATGTTGATAATTATTAATGTACATGCTAAAGGTGACTTATTTACATATGCTATTGCTTAATCATATTCAAAGAACGAGAAATACCTTCTTAGGTGATATTTTACAATTACAGATCATTCCCGGAGGTGACTATTGCAATTCGGTGTGCATTCTTTATGACTTTTCCTACATATCTACATACACACAGGAATACCAATACAAATGTATGTACACAAACATGGCCATTCAGACAGTGGTATTAATGTTAAACATAAATGGAATACCTCCTCTATAACATGTAATTTCCTATCTGGGCACATTTGCCCTTTCATATTCTTTTGCTTTTATTGCCCTTTTGCTGGAAGTCTTCTACCTCTCTTGTTAGAACGATGCCTAGGGAGATTATGATTCTTATTTAGAATATAACTTTCCTCATCTCATTTTCTGATTAACTGATTTATAGAAAAGTTGATTTTTCAAATGAACTCTCCTCAATGTTCTCAGATGATTACACACTGTCTACAAATTTTGTCAACTCCAGATATTTTATAAAACTTTTTTTTTTCTTGGTTAGTTAGGACTTATAAAACAATACTGAGTTAACAGTAATAAGGGCAGATATCCTAAAGCTTGTTCCTAACTTTAATGGGAAGGGGTCTAATATTTTACTACTAACTACTGCTTGCTTAGGTCTCTCATGAGATATATCCATATGACAATAAAGGCATTTCATTCTATTGTTAGGTGGTTAAGGGTTCCCCATATATCCTGGAAATATGAAACGAAGACGGACTTCTACAAATGCTTTTTGTACATCTGTAGAAATCATTAATTGGTCTTCTTGAAATGTGTGGCAAGACAGCATGTGGTCAGTTAACTTACTATATAGTAAAATCTTAACTATATTAACAAATTTCCTCTTTGTATTAAAGGAATAAATCCTATTTGGACACACTGAATCATTCTTTCAATACACTGCTGAATAGGACATGCTAATATTTTATTTAAGATTTGTGCATTTAAGGTTGAATAACCTATAGCTTTTTCATTTTTGTAGTCTCCTTGTTCACTTTAGTAGTAAGGTTATGCCAGCCTCAGATATTTCCCAAGAGCAATCTGGGTATTTTGTTTCTGAGTTCAAAGTTCTCTGTAAAGCCTTCAATTTTAATTTGCTAATTATGAAATCTTCTATATCTTCTTTTTTATTGTTTGGTCAGTCAGTACATCTGTGAGGGACTTCTATGATTGTGAATTGTCTATTTCACCTTGTACTTCCAACCATTTTCCTTTATATGATGTGAAATTATGTCACTAATGATTGTTGTAACTTAATGAAATATCAATTATCACTGTTGTTTGATCACTTTCTTATTCTACTGCCTGACATTAATTTTGCTATTGTCCATAGTTTTTATACTTCAGACTCTTCCTCAGAAAAATTTAAGAACTATAATACAGAACATTCAGAAAAATATGTATTAATACCCGTATCTCTTTCAAAAACCAAATGCTAGTTAATAATAACCCAAGCTATAGACTACCACTCTGTTTGTCCTGATTTTAGCTGTTTTAAATAATACAAACTTCTTTTAATTAAAGAAATACATAAAAAAAGGAAAAAGCTACTACTGTGGATGAATGTGACACTATGAATAAATGCCACCTTTTGCAGGCAGCTTCCAAAATGGCCTGTAATGATCCTGGTATGTTTTACCCCTGCGTGATCCCCTCACCGTATCAGGGCTGACTTGGGTGATCAAGAAAATCCGAAAGTGACAATATGTGACTTCTAAGGCTAGGTCATAAAGGCACTTCAGGTTCTGCCTGGGTCTCTTGGATGGCTTGCTTTAGGGAGGAGAATTAGCCACCAGGACGCAAGGACAATCATGTGGTTAAGGCCCATGTGAAGAGAAACTAAGACCTCTTTATCAACAGGCGAAATGAACTTGTCAGCCCTGTGGAAGGAAGAGTATACCAATAGCTTAGAAGTGTGTTTTCCAGCCCCAGACAAACATTAGATGACTGATGCCCCAGCTGACATCTCACGACCTCATGAGAAATTCTGAGCCAAAACTACCCAACCAAGCCCCACCTAAATCTTTAACCCACAGAAACCAGGAAAGAGAATAAATTGTTAGTGGTTGTTTTAACCCCTAGGTTTTAAGATGTGTTATGTAGCATTAAATAAGTAATACACCATTTTACTGAACTCATAAACAATGTTGAAGTAATCAGCTTCCTTTTAAAAAGTATTAAATACTTTTAACTATCTTCTCCAATTTGTGGAGATGATTTCTGTAAAAGAGCCAGCTAATAACACCTTACACAGCAGAGTACAATGAAATACATGGTATGAGTACCAACTTGAAGTGCCTTCTCACAATGCCCCTGGTTCAAGATGCAAGCAGCCAGAAGGCTTTGGGAGCCACAGGAAGAGCATCCTACATATGCCATTTACACTGAGGCATCTGGTTTGTGACTTAGCTAAAATGTGAAATATTAGAGGAATTTTCTGCTTAATTTTACCCTCTACGTAATGATGCTCATTAGCCTTAGTGATCCCAAGCTGGTGGGGAAAGGGAAAAGTAAGCCTGAACCACTACAATTACTAGTAATTCTAATAACAGCTTTAGAAAATTAGATTATGTTTTTGTTTCTCCCATTATTTTCACCAGGTCTTTACAAAGGAGGACTCTGAAAACCAACATTAGCATTTATCAAGCAGTTTATTTTGCTTAAAATATATTACCCATGGCAGCTGCAGATTAAAACATTCAAGCTGTTAGAGATGATTTAATTCCACCTCTGTGTGAAGAGGCTTACAACTTCAGGAGAGTACTCAATACTTGCTTAATCAATATCCTTGGGACTAAATCACATATAACTTGTGCTTGACAATTAAGGTTACTCCCTAGGTAAGACATATCTGGAAACAGGTAAGAGCAAAATCTCTTGACTTAGTCACTGACCTAAAACACCTGGGTTTCAAAACATTTCCTTGAGGTGTATCACATAAAAATGGTCATTTCTTAATTATATCTATTACATAAATGGAAGTATAGAGGTAGGTATTAAAATAGGCCTACAATTTAATTTTACTCTAAATTTCAAACTTTAACTTATTTCTATGTTCACCTGTATCTGAAAACGGACTTTCAACTAAGTATAAATATGGCAGTAATTTTACAGCTGTTCAAAGTATTAATTCTTTATCTTAAATTTAAACTTAAGAATCTCATGATCTTTATTTCAACTCCAATGTACCCAATTAAAGGTAAGGGAAAAGACCAAATGAATTTAATGTAATCAAAGGACTTAAAGGAGGAAAGAAAAAAAAGATGGGTATACAAAAGGAAATCTGACACTATCAAGGTAGTGTAAAACTAGCCTAAGGATAGACGTAGAAATCAGTGAAATAGCTCAGAGTGTAGACACAGACCCATACATATACGGTCAACTGATTCTTTTCATAAAGGTGCCAAGGTAATTTAAAGGGAAAAGAATAATCTTTTTGACAAATGATGGAATGAACAATTGACTATCTGTGTGTGGGGGGAAATAAATCTTTATTTTTAATTTTTTTAAAGTAAACTCTACCCCCAACATGGGGCTCGAACTCATGACTCTGAGATCCAGTCATATGTTCTAATGACTGAGCCAGCCAGCCACCCCAAGGAGGGGAAATAATTCTTAATCCTTAATCTTAACCACATAAAAAAATTAACCTGAAACTGATCATAGACCTAAATGTGAAAGCTAAAACTAAAAAGCCACTTAGAATAAAATCAGAAGAAAATCTTTGCGACCTCAGGGTAACCAATAATTTCTTAGAGCTAGGGTATCAAAGGCATGAGCTACAAAAGGGAAGAAATGGCAACTCAATTTTTTTAATATTGAAAACTTCTGCTCTTCAAAAAAATGTCATTTAAGGGAAATGGAAAGGCAAATGACAGATCGAAAATATTCACAGCACATAGGTCTGACAAAGGATTTGTATCCAAAATTTATAAAAAGCTTTTAAACAACCCAATAAAGATAGGAACAGACACTTCACCAAACAAGACATATAAGTGGCAAAGGAACACAGAAAGGATGCTCAACATCTTTACAGTCAAGGAAAGGCAAATCAAATCCACAATGAGATAAAATGGACACACACCAAGTTAAACAGTTAAAATTAAAAGACTACTAAATTTTGTAGAGGATGTGGGGCAACTGTAACTCTCCTACACTGCTGGCAGGAATGTAAAATAGCACAGCACTTTGGGACACAGTCTGGGTCTCTTAAGAAGTTCAACATATCTCTATTCCTAACAGCCTAAATCTGGGAACAACCCAAAAGCCCATCAATAGGTGAATGGGTAAAGAAAACGTTGTAAATCCATATATATGAGTATAACTCAGCAATAAAAAGGAATGAACTACTGAAACTATACACACACTGACAGGGTGAATCTCAAAAATACGTGGTATGTGAGAGAAATCGGACAACAGCAACACATATTCTAGGATTCCAACTATCTGAAATTCTAGTAAGGCAAAACTAATCTACAGCGATATAAAGCGCATCACCAGCAGTCTGAGGGCAAGGGGAGGGAACTGAATGTAAAGGAAGATAAAAATTTAGGGGGGAATATTCTGTACCTTGATTGTGATGGCATTTAAACAGGTTCACAGAGCTGTTAAAACTCATCAAATTATGCACGTAGATGGGACATGTTTTATCATGTAAAACTTTTGCTTCAATAAAGTTGATTTTTAACAAACTAAATGAAATGTGACCCAATATGTGTATGGTGTTCACACAGTTCCATAGCCCAGTTTTATGCTGTTTTCTCTAATGGTACTCAAAGGTTACTTAATAACAACAATAATAGTACTCAAATAATAACTTTAAAGGTTACTCAAATAAGAAAGACTCCAGTAACAGGTGAGAATCAGAAACAATACAAATGCTTAAAATTTATATAATCAACCCATACCTCAAACGTGTATTTTTCTCTATTATTAAAGAGCATTAATATGGTCATCTGGAAAGTGGAGACCTGCAATATGTGCTTCCGTGTATTAGAGCCAGTTACTTGTGCCCCTCCAACACCAACTTCGGATCCATCTTCCTGTTTCATTTTTTAAGAAATAGAAGCAAGATAAAATTATCTCCTGATAACTTTAACTGTATGCTTTTCAAAGACAAGCACTGTAATATCCAACTCTCCACTTAGCAAAACTACATAACTTATTCCTACATAAAAAGGCAATTGTCACTTAAAACATGGGTCTGTGTATGGGTCTGTGTACACACCTACACACAGGCACGCTAAGTCATTGCTTAAGGACTGTCCTTTTTTCCCCATTATGAACATTTTAATGTATCTGAGCAAATAATGAATCAACAATGCCTTATAGTTATAGCTAAAATTATTTTAACAGTACACAATGGGATAATGGACTTAAAAGACAACACTGTCATTTTACAAGCTCCCAAAAGTAGCAGGGGTTTCCTTCTGTGTGGTCTGATCACAGCAAGAGATCAAATAACAGCACAGGATGGAGGGAAAAATCTCTGCCATCCTTAGGCCTGTTCCTGCTCTGTGACTTAAGTACAAAATAGAAATTTAAGTCTTCGGTAATTAACATATGAACTGTTTTTAAAACCCACTGATCTGTTTAATAAAACTCTGAAAGAAAACATGATTATTTAGGAAAAAATCCACTCTAAAACAAAAAGCAACAATTAAAAGCCGAGTTTTTAATATCCTTACCTTTCCCACTACACTCAAATATATAATAGTGTCAAACATTATTCAAGTAAATGAATTGTAAAGAATACTTCCCATTTCAATTAAATATAAAAATCAGAGTATGTGTAGACATTGACAATATTAAAAAAAAAGTGTTACAACAGTGACATATGAAACCAGTAGCACTATTATTAAAATATAAAACTTTTATTTGCTGCCTAAATAACAACCTGGATATTTTTCCTTAACATTTCTCTAAAAGCTTTTTATTATTTTTCTATTTGAAGGCAAATGACTTTGATCTGATTTACACCCAAGCAATGAAAGTAAATGATTAGTCTAAACCTCACAATTTTCAATATAAGAAAGAAATTACATTTTTTAAATGAAGGCAATTCACTAGTGTCTTGCTAATTTTAATCACTTTATTAATATTTTGTGTATCTCACAAGATCTTGTGTTAATTTTCCTGGTTTTGATCTACTGGAAATAAGGATTATAAAAGACTGAGAATTTTGAAAAGGGACTGACAGCTTTGTATGCTCTCAAATCAATTTACATTTTATTATCTTATGCAATACTGTCTTATTATATATTCCTGAAGGAAGGCTAGCTACTGGATAGGGTCTTCATACTGTCCAATGAAGCTAGCAACTGAGAGAATAGAAGCTAAAGCCAGTTTCCCTTTTTGAGTATTTTAACTGAGTAGGAAAAATAAGAGAAATACATAATTTACCCAGGTCAACAAAAATGAGAAATCAATTCTATAAACTAACTTTAAATTACTTAATGTAAGTATGTTCCCAAACTATCAATATTTACCTTTTTAACTGGTCCATAAAATGTGGCATTGAGATCTGCAGAACCCATATGATGCTGGAGTGTAAGCTGTCGACCGCTGTGTTTGGCTAAGTAAAACCTTTAGCAAATCAAACCAGGTTTTAGAAAATCATATAATTTACACATTTGGAATTATAAACTACAGGATAACAACCCTTAACAAGCATCTATGTATAAGGGAAATGTTAGTTTCTATTAGTATACTTTGCCCCTTGGCCTGCCGCTCAGCTGCTACTATTCATAAGATCACTTTTCTCCATAGTAACCCAGTCATCAATTTGCTCTAAGCCAGAGGCAGACAGCAACAATGCAAACTACACTCCTAACCATGGAAAACAATCCTCTCCAAAGAGTTTATGCAACTCATTTTTACATATTAAAAAGCATAAAGAACAATTTTTCCTTTTGAACATGAGGTAGATTCATCCTTAATCAGGGACACTATTGCTCAAGTTTATTTCAACTTTGGACAATTATTTGTACTTAACAAACACAAAGTTTGATCTATGTTTACCTTCTGAATATCTCAAAAGCATGTCTTGGTGCTGGTGGGATGTTGCACTTTGGTGTGGCTGACTGAGTGGGCCAATAACCTGTCGTGAGCACCCGGACTGTGAGATCAACACCACCTAAAGATACCTGTGTAGAAGATAAAAAAGATGTCCCCCTCAAATTAACTAGGATTTGTTTTCCATTCCATATAGACACTGGGTTAGAGTTATCCAAGTAGTTAGCTCCATGTCCAATATCCAGCAAATAAAACTTACCTTCTTAAAGATTAGATCAGTGTCTTCCAAATTTTAACTATCCTGGCAAATATCTATAATTATTGCTTAAGACGCCCATTTTAAAATAATGACCAAAGGAGAGTTCTTAGTACACGAACAACGTCTTACTGGTGTCACTGAGAGGAGTGAAGTTTTGGCCCTTAAGGTTTTTTAGATAAAATGTCAACAGGCCCTATCAGTATCATTTTAGAGAGAACTCTAAATATTTCATCTGAAGAATATTAATCTTTCACATTTCAGCTTTTAAATATTTTTATCTTAACAACCTATTTCTACTAATCCTGTTCACATTTCAACTACACTGATCAAAACTTTCATGTTTTCACATGTAGTTCTTATTTTAACAACCTCTGCATAGGACACTGTAGATCCAGTTCTACACAGTGCACTCTACAGATGCTAGATAATGGACAACCACCTCTACAAAACAGACGCTATCATTACTGTCATGGTTAGGTATTATCTTCTTTATACATAAATTTTTAAGAAAACTAGAAAGCACATTAATAGGAATTCCTCAGGGTGAAATATTACCCTTATTATTGATATTCACAGCTTGTTCTAACCATTTTTCCATATTTATCTAACCTGGAGGATTCATGATACAGATTTTTTAAAAGAGAGGGCTAAACTTGATAAATATCAAGAATACGCCACACTCAGATTCTTCATAAGTATCTACTAAATGACTACTCAATTTTAAAGAAGTTGAACTGGGGTCGCGGTGGGGGAGCCTGAGTGGCTCAGTCAAGGTTAAATGGCTGCCTTCGGCTCAGGTCATGATCCCAGAGTCCAAGATCAAGCCCCACTTCGGGCTCCCTGCTCAGAGGGGAGTCTGCTTCTCTCTCTGCCCCTCACCTGGCTCATGTTCTCTCTCTGTCAAGGAAAGGAAAGGAAAGGAAAGGAAAAAGGAAAAAGGAAAATGAAAGGAAAGGAAAAGAAAAAAGAAAAAGAAAGAAAAAAGGAAAGAAAATCCTAAAAAACACAAAAAAACAGGTTGAATTAGTAATCTTAGATGCCTTAGAGGAGAGAGGGTCACAGGAGAGACTCTGAGACGATGACCAGAGGTTGGCAGTGGGAGTGGTGCATTTTCAAGTGGCAGTAATGGTGTCACAACTTGGTTTAATCCACCCAAGACAATAAAGTCTTTTCTCCTTTCTCCCATGTACTCACATGGCTTGTTCCCTAATCTTCAAATCTTTCCTCAAACCATCAGTTTTTAAAGGAAGACTTCCCTGACCACTTTGCCACTATAGACTTCCTCCATATATATCACCTATTATATGCTTGCTTATCTTATTTGTCATCTGTCTCCCAGATTAGAATGGAAGTTCCATCATGGAAGGGAATGAAGTCTCTTCCATTCTCTGCTTTCTATCCAATGCCCAAACAATGCTTGGCATGGAAAGCACTTTTATTTGCTAGATAATTGTTAAATGGGAAAAAAAAAACAAAAAACAAAGAAACTCAAAGAACTATTGCTTTACTGGTTTCTAAATCGTCTTCCTATAGCTTTTTTAGCAGTGTTTTGAAGACATTCAACTTATATTCGAAGACAGTACATGACAGGGACAAGTATACAGAGACTGAGATATCAGAAAAGTCTGTTGGAATAGGGTATGACTTGCCGATATAAATAAACAGAAATATAATAGCAAGCCTGGTTTCCCTGGCCCGTCCCAGTTTTTAAAATAAAAACACAGGAAAAAATGGGCAAACACTTAAATTTTCCTTAAGCATAATAATTTTTATCTAAATAAAATATACCACAAGTATTATTTGAATTTTAAGAGAGCACTTGTTATATTACTTCTTTTTATTTAAGATTTTATTTATTTATTTGACAGAGACAGACATAGCGAGAGAGGGAACACAAGCAGGGGGAGTGGGAAAGGGAGAAGCAGGCTTCCCGCTGAGCAGGGAGCCGGATGCGGGGCTCAATCACAGGACCCTGGGATCATGACCTGAGCCGAAAGCAGACGCTTAATGGCTGAGCCACCCAGGCACCCCAATATATTACTTCTAAAAGTAAACGGAAGAGCCACTGTCTTGATAGATTTCAATAGGCCAAGAGCACTTAAAGTTAGAGAAAGGTCTGCTTGAGGATTGGTGATATTTTAAAAGGGCTCAAAGATTTTGAAAGCTCAGTATTTGTTCTGATAATTTTGCCACTTTTCATCAAATCTTTCTAATGTAGATTAAGGCTTAGGAAGACTTAAAGCTTAAGATCCTTAGCATAAACAATTAAAAAAAGCCAGTAACTGCAGGCAAATAATGGCCTTACAGTAAGTGGAAACCGCAACCAGATTAGCAGATATGTAACTCTGAGCATCTTGGTAAGTACTCTCACTGCAGTTAACAAATTATTAAACAAATATTCTACCACAGAGTGCGAGAGATATTTGAATTATTAAATAAATGAAAAATTCACAAACTTTATAACCAAAAATAACAGGATCTGATAAAATCATCATGCTCAACTAGCCCCCTCCCCCTTTTTAAAATGAACAACAGCAACAAAGTGGTCAAGAGTAAAGATCGTAATTTTCTTATCAAAAGACCTTCACCGATCACAGACAAGGTAATTAATTAGACACTTATACAGAAAGAGTGTTGAACCCACCCAGGAACATTCCTCTTACAGATGGTTTATTTCAACAAAATATTTACTCAGACCAGATTATATCCCTATAGCACTCAATATGTGTAGAATTAGTGGAAGAAAAAAATAAACAGAAAAAATAATTCTATTGCATGAAAATATATTAATGTATCAGAATCAAGCACAAATCTCTATAAACAATCTAAAAAAGGAAAAGAGTATCTAGGATAACCACATTATTCAGTTCATGCCCAACAAAATTTCTATTTGTCACACACTTGTATCTTTCCTGCTCTCAGCCCTTCTCCACAATAAACTTTATGAGGCAAATCATAACTATTTACAATGGGGAGAGACCAGAAGTCCCTCTGAGTCAGAATGCCTTAACATATATATATATAACCTAAATGTCCATTTCTACAGAATTAGGTATTTTCACATAATCTGTCTGTGATGAGACTGGGAGCAGTATAAGTGATGGTTTCGTATCTAAATATTAAAGGAATGGGGGCACCCTGGGTGGCTCAGTTGGTTAAGCATCCGACTCTTTTTTTTTTTTTTTAAAGATTTTATTTATTTATTTGAGAGAGAGAGAATGAGAGATAGAGAGCACGCGAGGGAAGAGGGTCAGAGGGAAAGGCAGACTCCCTGCTGAGCAGGGAGCCTGATGCGGGACACAATCCTAGGACTCCAGGATCATGACCTGAGCCGAAGGCAGTCGCTTAACCAACTGAGCCACCCAGGCGCCCAAAGCGTCCGACTCTTGTTTCAATTCAGGTCATGATCTCAGGGTTGTGAGATCCAGCCCCCTGTCAGGCTCCATGCATGGAACCTGCTTAAGATTCTCTCCCTCCCTCAGCCCTTCCCAACCAACTCCCCCTGCCCTGCATGCTCTCTCAAAAAAAAAAAAAAGAGAGAGAGAGAGAGAGAGAAGAAAATCAGAGGCATAACCTCCAAATTTTTTAAGTGGCTGTTACAGGTCTTAATTATACAGTTGTATATGGTCACTTGAGAAAGCAAACTCTTAAAGAAAACCTGTGGAGTTCTCTCAACTTAAGGTAAAGTTGAAAAACAGTAAAAAAAAAAAAAACAAAGAAAAAAAGAAAAAAAATTCTGAACTTCATTAAATCCTCACAAAAACCCATCAGACTCCAAAGCCATGTAAGCTGCAGCTTTACTGCCTTCTGGGAGTCACAGCACAAAACCATATTTATAACACATATGACGTAAAAAACGTCAGACCCCTTTATGCTGATCTTACAGATGAGAATATTGAAGTATAAACAGGAAGGTCAGGTAATGATTCTAAAGATCACACAATCCTGGGGGATAAAGTGAGAGGAAGAGTACTAAACTCAGCAAGCTTGCCCAAGCCCTGTCTTCTTTCCACAATCTATAATGGTTATAACAGTGGAATCACTCTATCTATTAAGTTTTCAGCACATTCCCTCAAGCGGAGAGGATAAACTAAGTTTTGGGAGAATAAGGAAAAAATATTTTAACATTAATAGTTAAAAAAGGGGCTAGTATGGGGGAGAATAATTTTTAAAGTACACACAAGACAATACAAATGTTGCCACTAATACCTTTTAAAGAAATGACACCAGTTCAGTTTAACATGGATGAAAAGTGCCCATTACAAAAGACTTCACATAGACACACACACCTAAGGAGAAATTAATCGAGAATCTTACCCCAGTTGCCTGTAGATGCTGCCTGAATTCATCCATAGTTGTGTTTGAGATGCTCATATCCCTAAACATTCCTTCCAGTTTTGATGTGAACTGACATCCGCATTCAGTCTGTGGAAGAAAACCGCAAACATACACAAATAAACAATGGATTTTTCTATGAGCAAATATACAAAGAAATAAACTCTTCCACGTAACTGACATCCTTTCTCCATCTTTCCAATAGCTGCTCTATGCCTGTGGCTACCAAACTTCAGTGTGTTTAAGAGTAACCCATGGATTTTATTTTAAAATGCAGGTTCACAGACTCTTTTGGAGATCCCAATACACCTCATTAAAGGTATGGACCAACACTACGTGTTTAATAGGCAGCTCAGGTGATACCAGTACAGGTGGTCCATGGCCCACACTTTGTGAAATCAAACTCAATGGTGACACTCCCTTTCCTACTTCCCTTGCACTAATCCTCCCCCAGATCTCCATGAATGTATCCTGCCACAGCAAGAGAACTTCCAAACTCTGAATGTCCCAGAACATAAACAAATCTAAGTGTAACCCGCTCAAACAATCCAGCTTTATTAACTTATAGAAATAAGCATTTTAAATCAATTAAATATTTTCTCATCACATGTTGTGGTGTTCAACCATGTGATAAACATTAGTAGGGGAGCATCATTCCAGCTTATATACACCTTACCTTTAACTTAGATATCATATTTTTTTCAGAGTCATCAGAAACACTTTTATTTGTGAGAAGTCTCCTTGCCAAGTGTTGTTTATAATAACGTTCAAATACATCTTTTTCTTGCATAAACCTAAAAAGGACCATTGCCTTATCCAATATTGTTTCTACTTCTTGTTCTGTTAGCTGCAGAATCAATGAAAAGACAATTTAATAATTATAAAACTTTAGTTCTACAAAAATATCACCACAGTTCATCTGCAGTTTACAAACAAGACTGGGGCGCCTGGATGGCTCAGTGGGTTGATCACATGACTCTTGATTTCAGCTCAGGTCATGATCTCAGAGCGGTGAGCTTGAGCCCTATATGGGCTCTGTGCTGGGTTTGAGCCTGCTTGGGATTCTCACTCCCCTCCTGCCCCTCCCCTAGCCCCACCTCTCTAAAATCAAAAACAAGACTTGGGACAACAAACATAAACAGTCTGGTTGAGAGATGTTGTCAGGAGGGACCCAGTTTGAGAATGTGCCTCCTACTTCAGAGTAGCACCACTCTTTTACATCCTCATCTAGTGCAGCATGGATCAAGGACTGGAATTCCCTTCCCTAGAGGGCTACCACTGAATGGAGCAAATGAGGGGATAATGGCTGGATTAAAGGATGACTGAGAACTAATGAAATGAAATTCTTTTTTTTTTTTTTTTAAGATTTTATTTATTTGAGACCACCGAGCAAGTGAGAGAGCACGAGCTGGGATGGGGGGTGGGTGGGTGTGAGGGGCAGAGGGAGCAGCAGACTCTGCTGAGCAGGGAGCCCAATGTAGGGCTCGATCCCAGGACCCTGGAATCATGACCTGAGACGAAGGCAGAGGCTTAACTCACTGAGCCACCCCGGTGCCCCTGAAATGAAATTTTAATCACAAAAAAGAATCTTACAATACTTTTCCATAGCATTTAGGCAGAAACTTACATAGGCAAAAGACAGATATTTTCTATCAGCTCATTCAAAATCTACATTGTGCAAACAGAAGAGTACTAATTGGTTATATAATTCAAACACTAAAAAGGCCCCTGTCCTTATCTTTTAAATAAGGGCAAGATGATACTGTAGCAGATTTTATTTAGCATATATTTAAAAAATACGAAGACCAAATGGATGTTGTCTTTCCTATCGTGATCTTCCTCTTTCTTCGTTGTTATAGCTGGCTGGAAAATCTGTGGCCATTTGCTGCTTTTCCCTTTTCTTTCACAAATTCTAAGATGAAGTTAAAAAGACCAATGTATATGTGATCACAATATGCTTAATCTGATTTTCTACGCTGTAGTAAACTCCAAGATCCCAGATATATAATAAAGGCTTTCAAACTACTTTCTGATAGCAATTCTAATCTACTCTTTTCACAATCTTGGCATCCAAGTATTACTGTTTGATATGTAACTCCCAGAACCAGATGACAGCAAGCAACATTCCATGCTATGGTATTTGTTTTCTAGTTCCCTATTATCTCTATAGCGTATCAAATCCATAAAGACTGTTGAACAATTGTGGCTGTGTAGTTGTTTGGTTCTGATGTAAATTATACATTAAGTGAAATGTCAAAGTACCATTTCAGATACCTTAAACAATCCTTTTCAAACAACACAGCACACATTTAAAGCACAGCAAAGGAACAGACTTAATTTCATATCTACAAAATTTCCTATTTTTGTATTTCCTAATTTTATATACAGTTTTAAATCTACAAATAAAACATAATGTGTTCCCAAATGCTTTAATACTTACCCCTTTGACTCCCTTCTTCAGCTTATCATCAATAAATAATGAGAGGTATTCAGGGGACCTGGAGTTGAGGTTGAGAAAATACTCAAAGTCACCCGCAATAGTTTGTTTAAAGAGCCGGTCATTATTGAACGATTCCTGGAGGAAGCGATCAAACCTACTCTTCAGATCCAATAAGCCCTTCCAAATAGAAACAAAGAAATTCAGGATACATTATAATAATTTTTTTCTATAAACAATACACTTACAATCAGGTATGTTTATCTTAACTTTGCTGGTAATAAATGGGTGCATTCGGTGTTAAACTTATAAGTTCTGTATTATTATTTTCAAGACTTTATCTAAGCCCATATTAAACATGTCAGCAATGAGGAAAGTAGTCTATTTTCCATTTGTATTATTACTCTATTGAAGATGAACTAAAGAACCACTGCGCTATTTCTCCACAGTCTTCTCTCTCTTGACTGGGTAAAGCCCAAGAAAATCAGCTTTAAAGAGGCACCAAAAAAGCGATTACGTATACTGAAACATGAAAAACTTGGAGCATCATTTATTCATAGTATTGCTTTAAAGCACAACATTTTTGAACAAAAGGTATTTAACTGAAAACAGTTATTTTTTTCTAATACCCCAAAGTACATGAACACTAAAGCATAGAAAAAAGTAGCTATTTTCACTCTTTAAATCATTTAAATAAGGTCTTCATCAAACAAGTTAAATGAAAAGCAGCAGCTTAGTTTGGTTCCCTGATACAAAGATACATACTTCACAAAATTCTAAAATATTTAGGATAATTATACATATTATTTTTCTATTGGGAAAATTAAAGTAAAAAATACAAAATACATGCAGCTCAGTAAAAGTGAACTTTTTATTAGCATGTGTCAAAATTATTTTATCACAAACGTAAAGAGAATCTTCTGTATTCGCTTACCTGGATATAGTCAACAGGATTCTTTCCTTCTCCTTCCTCAGAAACAAGGGCTTTACCTTGTTCCCTCAAATAGGAACTCATACACTCACACATTGTTTTCAAGCCATTTGGCACACGACTAAATAACTTGTACATGCAAGCAAGGTCTGCAATCAGAAAGAACATACAAATCAACTACATTAAGGATTAAGGAAAAAAATGTGAATCTGTTTATTCTGTTATGTGAACTTAAAGAAGCTTATTTTTCCATCACCTACCACTTGCTGATCATGTGAAAAATTTATGGAAAAAACACCCAGCAAAATAGAGAAAAGGAAAAAAGTTAGGCTAGTTAATGGTTATTATTGCAACTTATGAAAGCTTTCAGGTAAGATGCTCTGAGAGCGTCAATGAAATGTCTCAGTACATTTTAGTTTACATGGAAGATACCCATACAGCATAACAAAAAAGCCATAAAAAAAAGAAAATTGTAGCTTTGAGTTCTTACACAATTCTAATCCAGAGCCCAGTAATACTACACATGTCTATCAAAAGAATAACTTATTTACTGTGTAATTAGTAGTCAACAGAATAAGGGAAGAAATATAAAAACCAATTAAAAATCTTAGATATTTTTGGGTACGTCTATCTCAAAGTTCAAACAACATGACAATAAATGAAATAATATATACTAGAATTTCATTACACACCATGACAAAGTTTATGTGAAACTTTTAGCGTCTATTTCTATTCCTTGGTATTTTCCTCTAGAGCAATCCCTAATATTTCTTAGGTGATGTCCTAGGCCAATACCTGTATTTTAAAATTGGTTTATCTCACTATATTATTCTTAGAATAATTCTGGATTCTGTCCATTTTTTTATATCATTTTTCACTAGATTAAAATGTGGAGGTAAAATACTGCTTTCCCACGAGTCTGGTGGTTCTTTGAAATAAGAACTTACTGAGACTGTGTCAAAACTGTACAATGATATACAAAAGCTTTATAATCGGAAAACTTTTGAAAATGGAGTTAGAATAGCAGTTTCTAGATTTGGGGCTAGGAAATTTTTTTCTATAAAGTGCTATAGAGTAAATATTTTATAGAATTGTGGGCCATATGGTCTCTGTTGCAACTACTTCAGTTTTGCCCCTGTAACAAGAAAGAAGCCACAGGTAACAAAGAAATGAATGGGCATGACTGTATTCCCATAAAAGTTTATTTAAGGACACTGACATCTAAAAATTTATGTAATTTTCATATGCAATGAATTATTACTCTTCTTTTGACTTTTTTTCCCCCCTAACCAAACTGTTGATGGGCCACATTTGGCAGACAGGCTATAATTTACCTACCCAGGTCTTCATTTTAACAGCTATTTAGATCCTAAAACTAAAGTTGTATATTTAAAAAATACTTAGAAGGAAGTTTTACAAAAAGGGCTTCTAAAATTTGAAACTGTTTCAGTGACTTTCAAAATCAAATTGTATTAAAAATAAGTTTTCAGCAATAATACATGTCCAAACTAAACTACATACAGCAAATCTTACAGTTTCTCACATTTGGCATAAATTATAACTAAAAAAAAATTTCTTAAAAGATTTTATTTACTTTGAGAGAGAGAAAGAGCATGAGCATGAGTGGGGTGAGGGGCAGAGGCAGAGAATCTCAAGGAGACTCCACACTGAGTGTGGAGCCCATCGTGGGGCTTGATCCCAGGACCCTGAGATCATGACCTGAGCCAAAATCAAGAGTCAGGTGCTTAACTGACGGAGCCACCCAGGCATCCCAAGAAGGGTCTAAAAAAAAAAAGTTAACTTTCTCTGGTTTAATGAAAATTACAAATTTACATATAACTTTCAGGAAGAAATGTAAGCATTTCAAAACACAAGGACTACACTGGAGGAAGCATAGAAAACAACCTCCTTTCCTACCATCTTACTTTTCTCTCCTCTTACATCCCTCCTCTCCTTTAAATTGTTCACTTAAAAATTGTTTTCCATTCCCTGCCAAGCTCTTAACTTAAACAGTCAACATGTGTTTCTTTTATAAGAAGTAAGTAGCGGGGCGCCTGGGTGGCTCAGTCGTTAAGCGTCTGCCTTCGGCTCAGGTCCTGATCCCAGGGTCCTGGGACTGAGCCCTGCACTGCGCTCCCTGCTCAGCGGGAGGCCTGCTTCTCCCTCTTACTCCCCCTGCTTATGCTCTCTCTCATTGTCTTTCTGTCAAATAAATAAATAAATGAAAATCTTAAAAAAAAAAAAAGTAGCAAAATACTAAGACATCATCTAAGAAGCAGGAAAATAGCAAGAGTACCATGTTTATTTTTTTAATAGCATATCAGTGATTTCTAAAGTCATAATTTTAAAGTAAAACTTCAGAAATTAAAAACAAGGACAACATGACTATTACTCTTTTATTTATAATTTCTCATAGGGAAATCACAAAATATTGTTTTCAGGGAAAAAAAGGGTAAGTAGTCAACAAGAATAAATGCTACAGTTATCTCAAAACTGTGTACTTTTACTTTTATAAAGCAATTCTCCTTTCTCTGAAGTCTGTTAACTTCAGAGTTCCCAAAACCAATCTACTTAATTTATCTGAAATGTCACATGAAAGACACTATTTTTACATTTTCAGGCCCCTTATCACAACTAACTCCCAAAGGAAAGCCTACAGAAATTTTATGATTGGAATGTAACATTTTAGAAGAACCACAAAAAAAAACACAAAGAGAGTATGTGGCAATGGAGAGTTCAACTCTCTTGTCTACAAAAAGGACAGGAATATTAGGACTTCTGGGCTAAGAAAAACACAAAAAGGAGACTAAAATGAAAGATAGTAAAAAAGAGCCATTCAATTAACAAGAAACAACACCAAAAATCCTCATTAATAAAGTGTAAAGCTTTACTCTTAAATCCTATCAAAGTAATAAGTTAATAAATTAATGACACACACAACTTTAAGACTGACATTCATAATCTAAGTACAGGAAAATAAAAAAAAAAAATTACTAAGAACCTGGCAGAATTATAAAGATTTAATTATATTTGAATTGCTGACACTTACCTTCTGTCTTTCCATTTTTCAACATATGTACTAGCCCAGAATTTTCCATTTCTACTATGGTTTTCATGTGTTTGGAAATGAGCTCCCTCTCGACCACCTTTACTATTGGCTCTTCAGTTGATTTGTCAAGGCAGTGCATCACCCGTTCTATTTCTTCATTAATTCTAGCTTCTACTTTTTTTATATATACTGAAGCACTGTTTTCTGCTAAAAATTTCTGGCTTTCCATCTGCAAAAACATGATTTTTTTTAAACATAGAAGGAAAATGTGTTTCTCCTTTTAACTTTGTGTTTCTATAACATTTATCATTAAGCCAAACTAAATTATCATAAGCACTATTAACATTTTTAGCTTATCATACAAATCTACATAGTCTGAATTATACCCTTTAAAGCACTGATCACATAAGAGAAATCAATACATTATCCTTAAGCAGTGTTTTTCAAACTTTGACAATGTACTTCAAATAGCAGAAAAAGCAAGCACATGCCAGTAAAGGTCAAAAGTACAGAATGAAGTATCTGACCCCAAGTCAGAGTGGAAAATTCTTTTCTGATTTGTTTTAATGTATAATTATGCCTAGAAAGGTTCAACATGTTTATCATAGTTTTGCTGACATACTGCTAGTTACTAAAGTCCAACTGCCACCCCACTCCCAATCTCAAAGGCATATGTGTGTGCACACACACTGAAGTTTGAGAAACAGAGTTTTTAAATAACTCTTAATCTTGTCTGCTATCACCAGCCTTACAGAAGTTCCACTAAATTATAAATGTTAATCCAAATGATTTTAACCTATTTGATAGCAGGATTAACGAATACATAAAAGATTTACAAAACAGAAGACATGCTGATACACACTATGTATAAAATTTAATAACACTTCCCACTTTCTTAACAAAAAGTAGTTTTAATCCTTGAAAATAATAAAGTTTCTAAGAACAGACATTAACACACCAAACAAAACTGAGACCATGTCTCCACTCACTGTTAAAAACAGTATGTATTATGTATATATGCACATGCATACACATTATCACTGCAGCACATTTTGGAATCTTGACAATTAATCTTCTATTGTATGTCTACAATGTAATGAAGGAAATTAAAACGAATGTAGAAGTCAAAAATATTGTCAAATATACCCAGCATTAGTTGCTGCATTATTGGAAAATACAGCCTGCCTCCTACATTATAAAATTAATAGTTCATGAAGCATGGTCCAGGGGCTCACCAGTGCAGGCCACAAAGGTCTTCCTGATGGGCTACAAACTAATTTTAAAAAAAGGGGGGGCAGCAAGTCCATTCTTTGTTTCTTAATGTGTAAATGACACCAAAACCCGAGTTCCATCTTTATATATATCCAGTGGCTCTTATGAATGACCTACTGAACTATTAAGAATTGTAACTTTGTATTCATTTTTTTAAAAGCTTATTATTGGAGTAAAAACTTTTAATACTCAGCTAAGTCTGTTTTAACACTACAAAGCTCCTACTATAATTGAGGTTTTCAGGAGGATGCCTGGTTATTATGATCTTATTAATACTCTTACATTTTGTAATTCCATTACAAATTAGTACTAGTTTAACTTCAGTTTCAGCAATTTAGTTGGTTCTGGGTCGTTATACTGCTGCAAAATTGTATCAATTATACTTATTGACTTCTAACTTCCTCATCAATAGTCTTTAAAAAAAACCATATATATATGCACCATGAGATCATGCATATTTCTATATTTATTTCACTAGTAACCTAGTATTTACCAAAAGCCTGAATAGTGAGACTTTAGGAGTGATGCATTGCCTTTGAATTTATGGTAAATAATCTGTAACATGTAAATATAAGAAAACATTAAGGTTATTTCTAAGTTTGTATGTTTTAGAACACGTAATTTAAAAAATCATGTGTGTAAGTCCAAACTCTTCAATTTTTTTCAATGGGTTCCTTCCCTGGAATGTGAGCATGGGGAGTAGGTGTCTGAAGGGTATTCTTGTACTCTCCTTCCCAAAGGGCCTCAGTAGAAAAAGGCCAAACGTTCAAATCAAACTTTGATTAATATCTTAAAAGAGCATTTATTTACATCTTCACTGATTACCTGAAAAAATTCTGCAGACATTTCCAAAAAAGGAGCCTCAAAATCTTCTTCATAGACGGATCGTCCTTCGAGACCTAAAATCATTAACATCTGGCAAGCATTTCTTATTGCGCCTCTGTCAAAAGAAGTTAAACCACTTGATAAGCATGTTATATTAAAGATTCATGTAAAAAAATGCAATAGAGGTAGCTAGAAAGACTTCAAGAACTTTTTTTTTTAAAAAGTGACCCAGCTCCCATAAACAACTCATTTATAACATAAGGATTTAGAGTAATTTTAATCGGAAAGCATATCTTGACTATATACCTATTTATCTCAAGTTCTCAGACTGTCTGAACTTTAAAATTTGAAAGAAAATACACTTAAAATGTCTAAATATTTGTGTAGTTAAAAACTCATACTATAAAAAGACGATTTATCAGAAAGCAGTAAGGAGAGAGGGAGGCTATATTGCTTGACATGGGTACAACACACAGCCACTCTGAGGCATTTTAATTTTTTTTTTTTAATCCAATCACTTTGGGGCAACCCTGCCCAGGCACCAAAGCTGAAATAAAAAGAACTTTACAAGTCTTCCTCTAATAGCTGCTCTGAGTACAAACACAAAGAAAAAGCGGTCTTCCACGCTTCAAGCTGCTCTAACTGCAGTGTCACAAAAACAGTACTGCAGCCACGTAAGAAGGGGAGGCAACGTGACCTAACAGAAGGGGCACAGGAGTTCTTAGTCATCGTACATTATGCTTCACACTTTTCTTCAAATGTGTTAAGAATGAAGGCTTACCCAGAGCTTTCTTTTTAAAGAAAAAGACAAAGAGAACAAAAAATGTTATCACACAGCCAAAAAGAACAAAATGCCAGCATAAAAAATACATGAAAAACCAAGGGAAGACTAATGGCTGATTTATTTTTTAAAAGCGTATTAAATAAAAGCTCAGGAGGGTCTCTTCTAACACGAGATGTGTGCTTTTAAGTTAGAATCTGGTAACTTTGTTAATTGTGAAAAGATTTTTGAGGATTTTCATAATGTTCTGGACAATAAAACTTTTATTTATTGTAGTAAGACTTAGGACAGGAAATCGGTTCTCAAGATATAACCACTAAAAAAAAACCAAACACTGCAATATAAAAAGATGATTATACCGATCTACAACTTCTCCTTTCCGCTCTCTCGCAATCATGTCCAATAGCGTTTGTCGTAGATGATCCCTAATACACCCATAACGTACAACTTGATCTCGAAAAATAATTAATCCCAAATTGTAGACATTCTCCACATTATTTTGTTGTACATATACACGGTCCTGCAATGAAAACAAAATCACATAAACATGAGCACAACTCCTGCAAACATAAAAATAACCATTATGAGCTACAATAATACAGGAAATAAAATTCTAGAAGCAGCTAATTTTTCAGGTGAGAAACACTTCGAACTATTTTAAGCACCATGGAATTTTCTAGCACCTCCCAAATTATATAAAAGTTAGTCTTTACAGACTGTACAATTTACAAACAATTGGCTATAGGTGGTCACTCATTTAACCTGAAGGAAAAAAAAGGGGGGGGGGAGGGAAGCAAGCATCATGCCCAGGAAAAAGCAGGTGAGCAGAAAGCAGAGGAGAAAGGTAGAGGGCAAGGTAGACACATCTTTCTTTCTTTCCAGAGCCATACCATGCCTGAACATGGTTCTTACTTTCTTAAATGCTGTAAAGATCATATTCTTTGAAGTAAAATTAAGAGCCGAATGAAATACAGATCCACGTAACTTAAGCTGATTGCTTACTGGTAAATATTAAAAGGCTCTAATGCCTATAATACAGCAGCATTAAGCATTACATAATTAAAACACCTCTAGTTATTGTCATTTCAAACAGATTACTTGTAGTCATCTTATTTTCAAGTTCTTGCCATCTTGATTACAGGTGTGTCTCACTTTATAGAGCACATAAATTCCAGAATTACTGGCTATACAAGTCCTATTTTGTGCATTTGAAAAATCCACATTTACACCAAAATACAATGGAATAAAACTACTAAGTTTTTAATTCACAAAAGGATTAGCAACAGAATTCCTTTCTGTTCTTAACCAGGATCTCTCTGGGCCTCGATGGGTCTCTGAACTTCCAAAAATTATGAAATTATTGTGTGTTTGCTGGTACGTAAGTACTATGGAAACAGAGCCCATAGCTTTCACTAGATTCTTAAAGGCATTTATGATCCAAAACCAGTTAAGAACCACTGCACACTGTGATCCTGGAACTTTCGTAAGAACACTGTCATTACAGGCAACACCAAGCAAAGCCACCAGGTGAACATAAACAGAAGCTCAGCCATATCAGTGATGCAACTGAAATGGCACCGACCAACAACTGCTGACTAAATTCTCAACAAGTAGCATTCTCTTCATGTGATGTCACTCCTGCAACCTTCCTCCATTCAGCTCCTCTAGGGCACACCCCTGATGGCTATAAGGAAAGTCGCTCTTTGATTAGTATCTTCGCTGCTCATGTTTCTACATTCTATATCATCTTGGCACAAGCTCACATTTTTAAAATTGTGCATCAACTTCAGTAGGTTCAAAATTTTCACAGATGACTTCTCTGGTACATTTTTTTTTTTTTTAAATAGGCTTTCACTTTTTTTCCTTTGTATAAAACTATGTGGTGGCCACATCTGGAGCCTGGGTCCTCTGCACGGAGACTCTGGTGTGGGTCTTTACAAGATATCAGTGAGCTCCTAAACACAGTCTTTCCAGAGGTTGGGGGTGAGAGCTGTAGGTCTGGGAAATGGCATCAAAAGTGGCCTAGGCGAAGCTGGGTGGCAGTGCAGCCCTTCGCTGAGGGGGAGCAGTTGGCAATACCAGCCACCATTAGTAGCTTCTTGAGCACAGGGGCTGAGACAATGCCAGTGCCTCCGGGGGCAGGGATGAGGCGCCCCAGCACAGAGCCACAGTGGCCGGTCAGCTTGCATGGGACAGCGTGGGGCTTGTTGATCTTGTTCCGCCAGCAGCCTTGCCACAGGGGGATGCTGGAAAGCTTGGGCCAGGGTGATGGACCCTGGAGAGCAGTGGCTATCTCCTTGTAGCACTTAATACCCAGACCAACGTATCCGCTGCAATGTCCGATGGCAGCAAATGCCTTGAACCTGGTCCGCTGGCCAGCACAGGGCTGCTTTTGCACAGGCATTACCTTCAAAACCTCATCCCAGAGGGCATGATGCCCCCAGGAGAAAAGTCAATAATCTCCTATTCCTTGATGGGCAGGGAGAAGACAGATTTCGTCTAGGGACTTGATCTCCATGGCACTGATTTGGCAGCCCAGCTTGGTGATGGGGATCCACTCCTTGTCTGGGCCTTGCTTCTGAAAGCTCCACGGCCTTGGACTCAGCCCCAGGCCCGAGCACAGGCTGCCAAAACCAGTGAGGAAGCTGTTGCAGCCTCCCATTCCAGGACCCATCCCTGGCCCCTCCAGCAGCACTGGGGTCATCCCCCATTTGCTGTTCTCTCTTCAGTAAATTCTTAAGCTTCACACGTTCACCTCAAGATCTAAATTCTGTGTCTCCCCTGACCGGGGGAAGGGACACGACAGACAGAAGATGCAGAGGAGAGAGAGACTCCCCACTGAGCATGCGGCCCAACAGAGCTTGATCTCATGACCCTGAGATCACTACCTGAGCCGAAACCAAGAGTAAATGCTCAACCAACTGAGGAGCCTCTGCCTTACTTTTCAGCATGAAACAAGATGCATTCAATAAAAGCTGGCATGAATCTAAAAATGTAAAAAGCACCAATAATCTTTTTTATTATTAAAATAATTACTGTGTTGCATAAATTATTCATAAATTTGATGTTTACAGTTTTGAATAGTACCATATACAGTATCACTCTCACCCTAAGTGATCAAAACCTGTAACTGGCTGCTTAATTAAACACAGGCGGTAAAAGAGAGAAACAAATGTACACACATATTTGCATCTTAATTTTAATTTAGAACATTAATACATGTTCGCTGAGATATCAAGACTTTTGTCTTTGAACATGAATCCTGTGACCGGGGTTCAGTGTTCTCTTTCTTACATACACTCCCACCTAATAAAGAAACCTTTCTACTTTGTTTCATTAGGATGGAGCATGAAGACTAGAGACATTTGTGAAGCAAACTGAATGTAAAAAAGTCCTTCTAGATTTTTACAATCCCTGCTCCATTCTTTTAAATTACCTACACCTAATTTGAATCAATATTTAGTGATTTGCCTTTGTCAAGTCTTTCTAAAACATTCAATCTTGTTTACCAAAGAACAAATTCAATCGTTTTTAACACCATTTTATTGATTTACAGGATATTAAGTTATGTATTAATAACAAGTACAACTGGCATAAACAGGCTTGAAAATAAATACAAGTGACTCAGTAAACACAAAGCACAACTGGTAAGAGCAAAATACAGAGGAGATACTGAAAGTAGTGAAACAGCAGTGAGAGAATTCTGCATCAGGCTGTTTTCACAGAATAGAAAATATTGGTAATTCTGGCAACACTGCAAGTTCCAACTCTACTACATGCCTACGGGACTTGTAGGGTGTGTGGGGGTCAGATACCTATCATATATGACGTATATATGACATTAGCAAGTTTAACCTCTTTCTTAAGAAACCAAATGTTCTTAATTAAGAAAGATGTTGAAAGGATTAGGTAAGATTTGTTTTTGGCAAAAGGGCACTACCTGTAAAATTACAGAATAAAGGCACGTAAAATGTAATCTTCAGAGCAAATTATGCATTTCAGAGTGAAATTTTTTTAATGTTCCCCCTTTTTTGGCTTTACTGCAGTATAATTTATATGCTATAAAATTCACTAATTTTAAGAGTACAGTTCAGTCGAGTACATTTCTACAGTTGTCTAACCATGGTGACAATCCATTCTAGAACTATTTCCATCACCCCCAGAAGTTCCCTGAGCCCATTTGTAGTCAATCCCACTTCCAGCACCCCTGCTTTCTCTTTCTACAAAATTTCCTTTTCTGGTCATTTAATATAATTGAATCCTATCTAATCTTTCGTGTCTGATCTTTCACCAAGCATATAGTTGCTGAGGTTCATTAATGGTGTTAACATTTATCAGTGTTTCATTCCTTTGTAGTGCCAAATAATACTCCATTGTATGGATATGCCACATTTAGTTCATCAGCTGATGGGATATTTGGGGCTGTGTCCAGTTTTTGTCTGCTATGAGCAATGTTGCTATGAACGTTTGGGTACAATCCTTTGGTGGATATATGTTTTCATTTTTCTTGGGACAGATTTCTAGAAGTGGATATTGGATCATATGGAAATTGCTAAACTATTTTCTAAAGTGGACGTATCAGTTACAGCAGATTTTTGAATGCAAAAATACTAGATGCAGAGTTAGGAATTCTTCAAATGGAGCTCTGGCTGTACCACTAATTTGGCTGTGTGACTTTGAGTAAGTCATTTATCCTCTCTGGTCCTGGGCAACCCAAAGGGATGGTAAAGATAATCTCTAAAACTCCAGTAAATGATTTCCTATGAAGCTTAACTTTCTGATCAAAAATTAACATATATGAAGAACCAAGATACACTTCCCTATCACTTTTTCCCTTTCTATGTGACCAGTCTCCCTGGCCTGGGGTTCCCTCTTCCCAAGCCTAAGCACAGTAATGTGGGTGAATCTATAACCCTTTGGCCGATAATGCTGTCTAGCTCAAGTCCTCCGACAAAAAGGCAGAAAAAGGGTCAGTTTCAACTGATGAATTGTTCAGGTATATTGTGTATGGGGAGAAACAATGCTTTAGTAAAGGAAGCCCCATAGGATGGAAACACGTGGTTAGAGTGTCTGAGTAGGGCATAGAACATTCACGTCCATGAAGATTGCTGGAGACAAAAGAACTACAGATGTTGTAGTGTAAGACCTAAACCTTTGTCTTTTAATTTGAGACTGCAAGGTGTATATAATGAATGCAATTAAATGACATACAATATTAAGAAAACCTGTTATCCCTGAAATTTGATTACAGATAAGAGAGTGCTAATAAATGAAGAGAAAACCGACAAAATTTGAGTGTGGCTATTTAAACTAGTAATACCAGTTATTTATATTAAATGTTAGATATGTATGATTTATTACCATCAAGCAAAATAAGAGATATACATGCATATACTCAAGTGTTTATATGTACACATGTTAAGCAGAAATGCATGAACACATTCACAATAAACTTGTGATCTGCACATGATATATATTAAAATATTTGCTAAATAAACATGCTGAATCTTCTGTTTCGTG